GAGGCATGAGGTGATGGGATTACTACTAAGACACCACTGCGCTGTGGCACCTCGTGTACCAAAGAAACTTTATCACCACACAGTGGCTCACACACCATACTGACTCTAATGTTTAACATGAGCACTATACTGTACAGGTAGGTGTGTGAGCCACTGTGTGGAGATAAAGTTTCTACATAAACGAGCTAGATACTGGGTTTGGTATCATGTTAAAAGTCTCTGTTGCATCACTTGCAACATATATATATATATATATATATATATATATATATATATATATATATATATATATATATATATATATATATATATATATATATATATATATATATATATATATATATGTGTGTGTGTGTGTGTGTGTGTGTGTGTGTGTGTAATTAATTGGTTAATTGAAAGTTTTAGTCAGAAAAATACAATAATTACATGGCTGACCCAAGTATAATAATGCCTTTAACCAAGGACTCCTAATAGTGTTGCAACGTAGAGACTCATTGTAAAACTGGCGCAAAAACTAAGGTAAGGTTAGGCAGGAACTGACACGGACGCTCTCGAGTCTAGACAATAATCGAACTACAGACACTAACTAGACGGTGGTACAGGGATTGACGACCACCATTACAGGTCACAAGAACATTAACTGCGCTGTCTGTGTGGCTTATCGTGTACTGTGTACCTCCATGATCCCTACAGTAGAGTGAAGATTGTTACGAATTACAGAGTTCTGGTGGACGTTGTTATATATATGTATGTTTATATGCTGCCTTTATTGAATGTATATATTATATATTATGTTACTTCTTACGAAATGTGTTAGGCACGTAGTAACGAAGAACAGAGAATAAACAGCCAGCCAGACAGACCACGTGACTCTTCATTCTCCCATTAAATAACCCAAGATACTACAGACGTTTGAGTATATAATTATTAGCTGGTGCTCGGTAACTGACTTTTCTACTCCGCCATGATCTTAAATAAGGTGTTATTATCAGTTCTCATTTTAGATGGTATAATTTGACCTTGTACCCCGAGCATTGTGACAGATTATAATGTAACACATCACCTGCTGCGCCACATCCTCCAAGGTCTCATGTTGGAAACAAGGACAGATAATTTAAAGTAAAGAAATATGACATACTTTACAGCATTTATATTACGTTACATATGAATACAGTAAACAAAAGAAAAACACCAGGGCGAGGGAAGGTTGTACTTATCAGAGTTTTTGTATACAGATGATAATAATAGTTCTAACCACTGTAAACACTATACAGTTTGACGAAGTTAATGTGATATATCCATAAACTATCACTCCATCATTTGGTACGTTAAAGATTTAGTTCACTTGTGGGTTTTAAAAGGACACCATCCATAGCGGGTCAATAGCCATAGGTCGTTTTGGCGAGGGCGTGTTATTTTGTTCGAGTGATGTCAAAAAGGTTATTATTAAGTGTTCTATGATCAAAACACCGAAATTGATAACCAAGACGGTGGTTTATGTGTGGAAGGTTTTCTATATGTACTGTATATCTGGGTCGAAATCTAGTTTGATTGAAGGTCACAGTGAGTCAACATAAAATGAGCCCTCGCTCGCCGATTAAATTTGTCAACACAGCGATCGGACACGGGAACATTTACTTCTCACTGCTATTATCAGGTTTGTTTATAAGTCACAAGAAGCAAAGGAAAACTAACTTGGCATTTTGAATGAGAGAATAATGATGCAAATTACATCTTAGATCTGATATTGCTCCTTGAGGCGGCGGCACACTGGGCACTTCCTCCTTACATCCCGTTTTGCTGGCCGCTGGCCTGACGGCCCAGCAAGCAGCAGGATTTGGGCTTCAGCAATTGAAGAAAAGAACTACGTACAGCACAATCCTGCAAGGCCTCAACTGTAGTAACGGGATCCATGATGAACCTCGTCTAGACTCTTGGTTGTTTTCGTTGCGTTGGGCAGACGCGCAAACAAAACATCCCAGTTTGACGCAAAACGTCTATTGTTTTGCTGGTCCGTGTTGGACCAACATGTGTGAGGAAAAGCGCCCAGTGTGCCGCCTGACATATTATCGACTCGCCAAACTGATAGACATGTCATCGATCAACCATTATTGTTCATTCAATTTGAAATAATTGTCATTATCACTTCAGAGTTAGACCGCTCTCCCTTGTGTGCAGTTTATTACCTTGGTCAGAATTTGTTCTTAAATCTGATCATTTGCTTTCATATTATATTCGGTGATTGAAAAGACTGGAGCGCCACTCAATAAATCACCACTTTGTCACGAGGTTGTTGTTACAAAAAACATGACTGTCAAAATTACCAGACGAAACTTAGTATGTTGAACAGCGTACACAGCTGGAGAATTTTCCGGAATAAATTATCTAATGATCTAATCCGGAAAATTCTCAGCTAGTCTTCCCAACACCATTGGTGCTTCGAGTGCGAAGTATGAAGCAAGCTTGTAACAGAGGCCGCCCACACACCCAATTTACACGTACTGTATATATTAGGCCACAGATACTCTTATAATGGTCGCCGGCGTTCGGTCAATTCGTCGCCGGTCAATTCGTCGCCGGTCAATTCGTCGCCAGTCAACTCGTCGTCGGTCAATTCGTCGTCGGTCAATTTGTCGTCGGTCAATTCGTCGTCGGTCAATTCGTCGTCGGTCAATTCGTCGTTGGTCAATTCGTCGTCGGTCATGCCAGTCCTGGCCAACCTATTCAGGATCTTTAAAACAGGAGTCAAAAGCCAGGGATTTCCAAGGGTGACAAACAACCGGAAGAGAGGATATCTCTTTGCTCGGACAATGAAGAAATAACCACAAGATAACACGGTCACTACTCAACAAAATATAGCCAGAAATTGATAACACAAGGCAATGCACAATCCTATACGGCACTCTATGAAGGTAAGGTTAGGTAAGGCTAGGTTCAAATTGTAAACCATTCGTATAAAATTTACCGACGACAAATTGACCGGCGACTAATTGTCCTAGCAATATATATATATATATATATATATATATATATATATATATATATATATATATATATATATATATATATATAAAATAATAATAATAATAATATTAAAATGTAAGGTGTATATACAAATCAAGCTACTCGAATGCTCACCCTACAGACGGTTCATGGGCCACACTATAAAATGTCAACTGGTCTAATTAGCATTAAAAAATGTTATGCGCCATTAAAAACAAGACCATAAAATATATTTTTGCAGGTGAAGTTATTTATGACACAAAATTATACACATACAGGAAAAAGGAAGTGTTCATGAGCGTGAGAACTGGATGGGAATAACCCCTAGCGTGGCTCCTCCCCCACCATAGAGGAAAGTCTTGTGCCCCTTCATTTTTTTTGTCCAACTCCACAAGGTATAACCCTAGCTACGTGCCCGAATCCTAGGAGGAGTTTTAGTCTGCCTCACTGTGTAGAGGAGGAATGCCGAGTGAGTGAATGAATGACTGGAAACCGCGGATCCATCAACACATGGCTCTCACCCTCAACTCGTTTTTCTTTACCCAAATAAGTCACTCCATGTTTCCCCTCTATCAAAACAACTCCTAAATTTTACTCGAGAAATAATATTAACAATATACGATAAAACAATTAAATATATACCATATACAATTCACATTACGCTGGGTTTTACGTTATAGTATGACCTCCCCATCAAACTCACCCGTAACACAACCCGGTAACTCACATTCGAAGTTAGTGAAATTTTAAATTATATGATTCTCCACAAATTTCGATCACAGCCGTTAAGTTCTAATGTAGTTTACTTTGTATATATATATTTTTTTTTACTATCGGTGAAAACTTTCAAGTCAATATTACAAAAAATTACAAATTACAAATCATAGACACGTCAACCATGAACGTGGTTATCATATTACCAATTGACATACAAAGCTTGTTAAAATCAGTCTATATCAAGTAATAGCTGGCTTGGGTGATAGAGCGGAATGTCCTATGTGTCAATGGACACTTGTGTGCAGGGCCGGATTCAGGAGTGGGCAAAGTGGGTAACTGCCCAGGGGCCTCCACATTTTACAATATTTTATTTATTTGTTTATTCATTTGGATTATTGTTATTTTCATTCTTTAAAATTCATGTTTATCTATACCATCACATAAAACTATGTTCAGCAAGAAGCGTGATAGAAATTAGGCTAGCTACTCCTTGAAATTCATGAATACCTGGTTTTCCTATGAACCGTATATTTTTAATGAATGCTATTGTTTGTGTTGCTAATAATATATTTAGAATTCTACAAACATATATTTTGGAATGTTCTAATTTCCTCAATATAACTGCATATGGCTTCAAAATTCTCCAAAGAAGTGTTCAAATTTCATAATTTTCCCGGGGGGCTTACAGCGCTCCCCTGAACTCCCAGATGTTTAGGCTCGCTTCACTCGCCACCCCACCCTCTTGGGTAGTTATAATGAGGGGGGCCTCCACAAAGAGGCTGCCCATGGGCCTCCACATGTCTAAATCCGGCACTGCTTTTGTGGCCACATACATTAGTCCCATAACCTCATTTCTCCACACACTCTCCCCTGCACTGAATTTATGTCCTTATTTTCAGTATTTTCAGTACTGTAGCATTTCTTCTGTTTTGTTTTGTTTTATAGTTTCCCACTTCTGGTCTTCTTTCAAAATTGTGATTATTTTAGTCGTCACGTTCTCCACACTACTTGTCTTACCGGCAACTTGACTTGCTCATTAAAGTGACAGTTTCATCACCAAGAGTGCACAACTCTTCACTGTTTCACATTTTGATTCACTTGTATGACAGGTGTGGAGACTATCAGCAAATAAAAATATCTGCAGATACAGTACTCAAAATGTGACTAATACTACTACTGTATACATCAGTAAGGCCATGCACATGACTAATACTGCCTCGATCTGTATGGCCATGACAACTGAACATTATAAAAAATATTGATGGACATTTTTACATTACCCCATTGTTCTTGCGACTGTTGAGAGCAAATTGCACGTCTCGCATCATCTTGACAAGCGGTTGTTGGGGTGGTGGCGCGGGTCGAAAATTTGCTCAATGTATGAAGTTACCACTGATGATGATAGCTCGACTATGGGCTCCAAAGGGGAGACCGCGCGGTTACTCGTCCACGGAGCGGGTGTACGCACACTGAGGCTGCACCACAACTACCTCATGTTATATATCCTGCCGCGGCCACGTCATTCACCAGTCCACTCTCACACGTCTGCTTCCAGTGCTTCACCCACCCACCCCACCATCACACGTCTGCTTCACCCACCCCACCATCACACGTCTGCTTCACCCACCCCCACCATCATAAGTCTGCTTCACCCACCCCACCATCACACGTCTGCTTCACCCACCCCACCATCATACGTCTGCTTCACCCACCCCACCATCACACGTCTGCTTCACCCACCCCACCATCACACGCTTCACCCACCCCACCATCATACGTCTGCTTCACCCACCCCACCATCACACGTCTGCTTTCCACCACCCCACCATCACACGTCTGCTTCACCCACCCCACCATCACACGTCTGCTTCACCCATCACCATAGTCTGCTTCACCCACCCCACCATCACGTCTGCTTCACCCACCGCACCATCATACGTTCACCCACCCCACCATCACACGTCTGCTTCACCCACCCCACATCACGTCTGCTTCACCACCCCACCATCATACGTCTGTTTCACCCACCCCACCATCACACGTCTGCTTCACCCACCCCACCATCACACGTCTGCTTCACCCACCCCACCATCACACGTCTGCTTCACCCACCCCACCATCACACGTCTGCTTCACCCACCCACCATCATATGCCTGCTTCACTCACACATCTACACTCTTTCATCATTGCCTTGTATACACACCTTTCCTTGTCATGTAATAAATTTATATCCTTGTCATGCAACTCGTTAACTCAGGATGTGGTTGTTGTGTCGGCGACAGCTTCTACACCTTAAACAAATTCACGCCTAGGTGGCCCTTGGGTCGGCCATCCTCGTTACACGAGGGGCAACCATTATTAGTGTTATAATGTATCTATATGTGAGTGTGTGTGTGTGTGTACTGGTACCAATTCTCTTTTCCATTTTCTTGGATGTCTTCCTTACTCGAGCCAGTGCCAATTTAGCCAGAGGGGTAGACATCCAGTACCGGATGAAGAGACTTTTTAACACAAGATGACTCCAGGTAAGAACAAAGGTATCTGCCTTTTTCATCACTGAACGTCAGTATGCAGATACCTCACCCTCTTTGCTTACACTGAACGCGACCTACAGGAGATCCTGAACACCTACACAGATGCATATGCACACTTCGGCTTGAAGTGAATGTACATAAGACTCAGATACTCTTTCAGCCTGCCCCTGGTTCAGCCACACCTCCACCATCCATCCAGCTTAATGGTACTAACCTCTCTAATGTTACCCACTTTCAGTATCTTGGCTCCCACCTGTCCACCACCGCAGACATCGATGAAGAGATTCAACACTGGATCAGATGTGCATCTCAAGCCTTTGGCAGACTCCATACCCATATCTTCAGCTGTAGGGAGCTGAAATTATCAACAAAGCTGCACGAATATCAATCAGTGGTCCTGTCCACCTGCTGTATGGCAGTGAGACATGGGTCACATACAGGAGGCACCTCAAGACACTTGGAAAGTTTCACCAACATAGTCTATGTTCCATCCTCAAGTTCGCTTGGATGACAAGAGCACAAATGCCAGTATTCTTGCTGACACCAACTGTAGAACTGTAGGAGCATTGAGGCTGCCAATATCCATGAACAACTACTTTGGACTGGCCATGTTACCTGAATGGACGACAGTAGACTGCCAAAGCAGCTACTTTACAGTCACCTAACAAATGGTAAATGTAATGCTAGCAGGCAACGGAAAAGGTATAAAGATAGTCTTAAGACTAACCTGAAAACGTACCAAATCGACCTCCTCACCTGGGAGACGATCACTCCACACCGTAACGTTTGGAGAAGCACCATACTAGAAGGTGTCAATACATTCGAGTTAGCCCTATTGCACACCGAGGCAGACAAGTGCCAGTGTCGGAAAGATGCTGCTTCCACCTGTCCCACACTAGATGTATCCCTCCATACATGGAACACCTGTGTGGCCCTACTGGTCCCGTATCAGCCTCACAAGTCACCTCAGAGGTCACCAACGAAGGTGACACCTTTAATAACTCAAATCATTCTTTTATATCTGGATGATCGTCATACTCGATTCAATTTGACAGCAAAGTACTGTAGTAGTAGGTAGTGTATGTGTGTGTATTCTGGTGTACATGTACAGTCTGCACTTATAACTGGTATAATGGCTGGCGCATTTTGAGAGATGTGGCAGATCTGTGTTTGTTTACATTGAACTAAAACTCCCAGAATGACCCAAAGGAAGCTCGCAATAGTAGCCAGACTAAAGGTGGAGGCACACTGGGCACTTTTCCTCCCAAAATGTTTGGCAAAAACAGTCTGACCAGCAAAACAAGAGACATTTGCGTCACACTGGGATGTTTTGTTGGCGCGTCTGCCCAACGCAATGAATACAATAACAAAGCGTCTCGACGAGGTTCGTCATGGATCCCGTTACTACAGTTGAGGCCTTGCAGGATTGTGCTATACATAGTTCTTCAATTGCTGAAGCAAGTGAGGCATTTGTAAAAAATAAAGAACAGACAATGGGTTTGTATTGAATTTTTTTTACAATTGACAGCAGCTGGCTGGTCAAAGAAAAACCTGAATAATACAGTAATATAATTATACTAAAAGAAATTTTAAATTGACGGATAAATAGAAACACGTGGCCTTTTTATGTGTTATATTTTAAATTATTATTGTTATGATTTATTTCATTTTTTTGCTTGAATGTTCAACACCCAATATGAAGCTCATTTGAGCACTAACCCGGCCAGCAAATCTCACACCCAAACCGTTGTCCATTTCTCGCAACAGCTGAAATCATGCTGTTTGTTTAGCCATCAGGCCAGTGGCCAGCAAAATGGGCAACATGTTTGGAGAAAAATGGCCAGTGTGCTGCCGCCTTAAGGATGCAAGATAAACATAACACAAAGTTGCCACATCTCGCAAAACACACCAGCCACTAAACTGTACCACAGTGCACTTTTACTGGGTTGCCATCAAGTACTGTTTCATCATTTTTAATTGTTGTTAGACTAGTCTATTACTAACCTTGATACACACTTAAAGACCTTCGTTGTTGAAGTGTAATAACAAACATTATAACAACAACATGTTTTGGAATCACTTATTTTAGTGAATAACAAAAGTCAATTCGGTGGGTGAAATTACTTACTCTGTGCTGTTATTTGTATGCTTACACTGTTCATGTAGTACATGCTGAATAATGCAAGTTTGTATGAATATAAAGTAGTAGGTAATGGTGGATAAGACCCTTTAAAGTCCTGGGATTCTGGGAATGGTACACAAGCAACAGCTTCTGGAGCAGGTTCAGATACATTCAGGAGCCAGTGCATGCCCAGTACTTGCCAACAGTCTGTAACAGAGACGTGACCGATCGCCCAAGCGGCTAACGAGCCGATGAGTGGTGAAGAGGATAAAAGTAAAAAGTAAAAGTGTAGTGCAGTATGTGAAATGTTTCCCAAAATGCATTACAGGGGGTATGTGTTGTGTTCTGTGTATTGATACTGAAGACATAAGCATATGTACAGTCGCTTGTGCTTATACCCGTACCTGGTAGTGTACAGTACCACGATTACAACCATAGAACATACCTATAATTTATGTACAGTACTGTACAGTGCAGTACTCTATTAACATTATGATAACTACAGATCCTACCCACTTACTACAGTACTGTATTATTTATAAATTTCATCATCCATTTTTGGGATATTATCAATATCATTAATTAATTAATATAATTATTATCATCATTATTATTATTATTAAAGCAATTAAGAAAATTTTTTTCATCACCTTTAGAAAAAAATATAAAGCTGCTGCCGCTGTTGTTTCTTATTAGTGAGTATGAAACAGAATAGCAATATTATTCAAGGCTAAGAAACGTTCAAATAATGACACATCCAAATGCACAAGTAAACTGAGATGGTGGCATCAGGCATCAGCATGGCATATTTCTTGATGAGAAAATAAAGAGACAAAAACCTGATGAGGAAAAGTGTTATTCCTCCACCAGATTTGATTTACTGTGTTCATAACGTAGGAAATAAATTTCCAGTTATACTTTACTTGTCAAACTCCTGGGAAGAAGCCACTTGAAGGAGATTTTCAATAGAAGAAAACTTATTTCTTACCTCATGAATGGATAGAAATGAGTGGACTTATTTAAAATTTCCTACTTTTGGTTTTCCAATATTTTCATCCTCAATACGCTCTCAACAACGTGGGTAGCTACCACGACTTGTTAATGCATGCCCCAAGAGACAAAATGTATTTTATTGACATAAAACACTTACATTAAATAAACACCAAAAACCAGCAGCAGCTTATTTCTTTTAAATAAAAATATTATTAACTATGTTATTAACCTTCTCATGGCCTTTTGAATTTAAGGTCTTTTTCATATTACTGTAGTAGTTTGGAGATTTCTTAAGTAGTGTCCTTCCTGTAAAAAAAAATAACTAATAATAATAATAATAATAATGATAATAATAATAATAATAATAATAATAATAATAATAATACGTAATTAAATAAATAAATATACAGCTTAAAATTTTCTCCCACAGCAAAGTAAATGATGTACAGTGAGCAACATAATCAACACAACTACCTAACCTGACCTAATTTCCTAATTTTAATGGTTTGAAAAAGATTTGGAAAAGTCAACCACAGAACTCTATCCTGATTTGTATATTGGAAGGTAGAGCAAAAAATAATAAGAATACCTGTAATACAGTATTGTACTTTGCTATATCGTGTTTTTGTTAAAAAAAATTATTTATTTTCGATTTTTTACTTCTTTATTTCACTTTAAAAGATGAAATTTTTATCACAAACTGAGAACACGACTATGAAGTAAAAGGTAAATTGACGGGTATAAACACATACCAAAAAAATTATGAAACCAAACTGAATCAATTATAGAAAGAGAGAACAGTATTGTTTAAGAACAGGTGTCTGCGTTAAGAAGCCGAGTAAGAAAACTTTTCAATAGAGAAGAAGTTCTTCAGTTTATCAAAAACATCCCCAATATAGTGGAGGAAATGAATTTTTGTCAAACAAAAAGATCATCAAGAACCTAACCTAATAACTTATAAATATCAGTATATATGTCTGACCTATCCTAACCAGAGAAACCAAAAGGACCTGACCTAACCACCTATCCAATTTTTTTTTACTTTCTGACACCAATTACTAGTCGAGAAGTGATTAGCAGTCCGATTTATTCATGTAGGACCATTATTTGACTTCATTCCGGCTATATTTGGCTACATTTGGGTAATTAGTCGGACCGCCCCCTAAAATACTTCATTGCCCTTGGGTTACTGGTCGAGTTATTTAGAACAAGCAGGGTTAGGTTGTTACAATATTGTCTAGTTCTGGGAAGTAAATATACTGTATGGGGATTAATGAGTCAGAAAGGATGCTGGACCACTCTGACTGGGATAGGTAGTGTCTTAGCCAGGAGATTACAGCCAGACAGTGCCACGGTAGGTGGGAGGGGAAAATGGCATTACCTGTATATACAGTATACAGGTACCTATAAACGCTTGGCCTTCCCTGTACCCTACCCCAACAGTGGTCACAACACCTGCCATTAATATAACACCCTGAAATGGCTCTTCAAGGGTAAATACCCTTCACAAAAATTACGCACAGTTTCTTAGCCCATAGCAAGTTTCAACTACATATACAGTAATAACAAAGGTTGTGAGGTAATAAATACTTACTGTTTTCTGCTTCTTACAATCCGAATTAGACATAACTTCTTTTAAAAATCAGATATATTAACCAATTCGACCTGTAAACACTCCCGGCAGCCCACGTCTACAATAACCGACAGAACTTATAAGAACAAATAGTATCCAACACCTCCTTAACGGGTGTTGCAAGTGTTCTAACCAGATCACTGTAGCCAGGCCGCGTACATCACGAAACACTAACGGTCTGGCAACACTGCTCCTGAAATACAAAAAAAATGCCGAAACAAATTAAACTGCAACAGATCAGTCATTATTCATGCTTTATATATATATATATATATATATATATATATATATATATATATATATATATATATATATATATATATATATATATATATATATATATATATATATATATATATAAAGTGATTTGTTCAACACTGGCACAGGTACAGTTACTACAGACACATTCTGAAGCCAGTACGCTTTCTTATCTTTACCTTCTTCGCCAGTACTTGTCAACAGTGTGTGACAGAGCCATGTCAGCCCGTAACAAAAGCCGTGACCGACAGCCCCAGCGGCTAACAAGCAGATGAGTGACGTTCGCCGCGTTATAGCCAGACTCGCTTACCAACACAACACTCTAACTGAGGAAGTTGACACCGGTTTAGGAGTTTATTGAAGTAAACACGAACATGAGGTTATGTAAGCAACACAACATATTGACGGGGATAATGATCACGCTTATCTTCTCTCATTTATACAGTAAAGCAACTATCACAATTAAATATTCGTTCTTACTCAGATTTTAATATACAGCATCTACTGTATATTTGAATTTAATAAGGATATTTTATTTTATAATGACAGTAAGAAATAACATTAATTAGAAGCTACCAAATAAATACGAATTATAAAACCCTTGTGATGATTTAAAAAAAAATAATTTAAATGTTTAGTACAGCTGTGGGGTACGTGATATTTGGGTTCACACTCAGGATGGGATGGAGAAAGGAAACTCACAATGTGCTCTCTGTATAAGTATTGTATTGGATGTACAATGCAGCTTGGTGCTGGGAAGGCAGCATGGTTACAAGCGTTGAGTAGAGAGAGCTGGTTGGTGAGGGTGCTCAGAGGAAGACCAGCTTGTGGGTCACCATGCTCACCGGCGGGAGCGAGGGCTGCCAGGCAGGAGGAGGTGTTGCTTACTGGTTGGTGTAGGTAGAAAGAGGTGGTTCACCACGAGGTTGGGTCTTATATAGCGGAGGTAGGCGTGGCTTAATAGTTGACCTCCGTGATGTATGGCGGCGCTGGTTGACCTAGACCATGAGGCATACACTGGGGAATTCGCAGGGTCGGCTACTCAGCGACAAGCGTTTGTAGAGGAGGAATCCACTACACAGCTTCCTCCAAACTCCTTGGGGGAACAATTCGAGAAATATTAAGGGAGATAATGGAGGCTACCCTTCAGCACTTTTCGTTAAATGTGAATAATACCGTTGTTGGTAATTTTTACAAAGTGATATTTCTTTGACCATTTGATAGAATAATTATCGTCAATACAAAAGAGCAGCCCAAAAGTATCCCAAATACCCTTCAAGTTACTTTACAAGTATTGCAGGTCATCACTCTTCATGACGATATATCAGCCCCCCCCCCTTTATCATTATACTGTATATTATATTTGTACCACTTGTGTCTTTGTATATTATTTGTCAATCAAGTGACCCATTTCCCAATTATGAAACTTTTTACATTTCTGTTGGTTGTGGTTTGGGATCTAGAGAGAACGGGTAACATGACATACGAGAGAAAAAGTACATTTCAGTGGGTGACTAACCAACATAGTATGTAAAGTACTGTACTTGAGAGCATTATAAGAGATGCCATGATGGAACATTTACTACGAAACAACCTTGTAAGGGATTGCCAACAGGGTTTTATGCCTGGGCACTCCTGCTTAACACAATTACTCAAGGTACTGGATATTTGGACCCATATTCCAGAACAGGGTGGTAATATTGACAATATTTACCTAGATTTTACCAAGGCTTTTGAAAGTGTACCCCATGAAAGGCTTTAAATTAAACTGGAAGGGTATGGGATTCGGGGAAATGTCCTAGAGTGGATCGGAGACTTTCTCCATGACACGAAATCATCATGTGTACGTCACAAGCGGGGTACCACAGGGCAGTGTATTGGGCCCATTGATTGAAAATGTCCAAAGGAGGGCCACCAGACTGGTGCCTGCACTGCAGCACCTCAGCTACCCTGAGTGCAATTATCTAGATAAGTTACAGCTGTAAAGCACATACAATACAGGGTGCATTAAAAGTCTGTTCTAATAGAGGAGTGATTTATTTCCTTCATTGCAATGAAAGCTCAAACTGAGAACTATTTGATAAGTGGTAAGAAATCTTGTCATACCAATTTTCAATAATCATAACAAACTACAAACCTCAGCAAACACTGATGATACTATGACAACCAATCCCAACAGTGTTCTCTCAATGAATTTTTAAAAGTTTACATAAATCAGTTTAAATAATAAAATTAATTGTGTGTGTCATCAAAGTAGGTGTAATGTGTTTAAATTTTAATGAGGGGATAATGTAGATGGTATGAAACATTGTCTGATAAGACCTTAAAGCTGATACTGAAGGCTAAGACACTGGTGAAATAGTGAAGCATGTGCTTTAAGCTGAGATATACACAACCTTTAGTCAGTAATCCTTGTGAAACACTGATCTACATCTCACAGCTGAATCATGGGTCACACCTTGTTACATGGGATTCTTTTGTACATATTTATTTACTCCAAGCAGAATGCTTAGAGATACATTCGCCATTAAATTTTCTTGCACAGGTGGGAACGACAGATTTCAGAATGAGCACTATGGCTCATGTCATCTCAGAATGGTTGGTGTGCCTGGTTGTCAAGTGACTCAATATTTCACAATAATATATGTTGCTTGTCTTTATAGTATTTACAAGTGAAAAGAAGTACAGTAATTTAATTAGCAATAAGACTTACTCAGAGAGCAATGTTCAGATTTCTTGCTCATTTTGTCATATCATATGACCTTTTGAGTGTTTAAGAACTTTTTGTGGCGAGTGTACATTAGATTATCTTAATGCATGTATGTGTACAAATTTACCTGTGCTACTGCAAGTGGCTAAGTCAAGAATGTATGTGTTCTTACAATTTGTTTTGGTGCTTGTGTCAATAACCAGAAACATGAGACACACAGTCATATATTTCACACTGTACGTATAAAGTTGGCAGAATAAAATCTGACATTTTTTCTGAAATAAATCTCTGATGTTCTGCATAAAGCTCAAGATAAAAAAAATATACTGAAACATCTAGCGATGTAAGCTAGAGCTGCATCAAAATATCTTAATTATGTTTTTTATACTACCTGTAAATATACATGTACTGTACTGTACTGTACTGTACTGTACTGTACATGTACTCAATTATAGCAACAATTACAAATACACTGTAATGAAGAAAAAATACTTAGAGTATTACAGTACTGTATACACTAAATGAGTCTTGTGTACATGTACAAAAAATTTATCTTATCACTACTGTACCGTAATTTCACCTAAATTCAAACACTTACTTTAAAATTTAGTTCTGTAGAACAGAAATATCACAGAGGAGAACTTACACTACTATAAATTAACTAATAAATCAAAGAATTACCATAATCAAAAATATACAATATTAAATATCTGAAAATTAAATAGTTATTCACTCATTTCACATTTATATACTCTAGTACACAAAAATAGTTTCCTATCATATAGTAATTATTCTTGCATGAGATTTCAATAAGATGTGGACTGGAAAATTTGGTTTTTAAAATATCTCTGGGAGACCTGTCGGTGAAGTTGCTCCACCAGCAGAGTTTACTCCTGGGCCTTGGAAAATGTCTTGCGGGGTTGCAAGAGAGCCATACTGCCCAGTGCTTCCTGCCTCCCGCATTCTTGAAGCATCTGATAAACATATCAAAGTACATTACTGAATATGAATTTCAATACTCTATCTACTTCTGCACTGTTATGTTAACATTTGTATGATTTATGAGTCATTAATCAAGTGAATTATGAGATTCCCACCAATAACACCACCTCGGTTAACGTAATTTCGATTAACGAACTGCCTTCCATAAGGATCTTCAATTCGGTTAACGAAAAAAAATTCGGTTAACGAAGTTCTTACGAACCGACCTCAACATGTTTTCGCTTGCACTGACCGGGCAACCAGCTTTAGTATCAGTCCGCCAATACATTAATCGGTTCTAGGGCTTAAATTCCTTACTATTTTAGTAAATATTAAGAAGTTTATACTATTCAATAATTTTAAAAGTTTAATATTCAATTTTTTAGTCATTTTAACAATTATTGAACATAATTGAAGGTAAAGCGACTTGTTTAATGCGCATCCAGCCTCTTAACACAGCAAACAGAAGTTAGTCTCTCTCTGTTTTCACTGGAGGTAACATCTTGCTTGAGACTCTCTTCAACTAAACGCTTTTTTTCTGTGTTTCCAAGCAAATTATTGGTCATTTTGAAATATATTTTACATATTGACAATATATAATGCAGTGCAGTGTTGATTTAAAGAAAATAATCTTGAATTACACCAAGAGAGCTAAAATTTTATGGGTGAAATGGCGCCATGGGGTGACTTCTCTTCCACCCCAATGCCTTCTCTTCTTCCTTCTCCTCCACCCCCATTCTAAATCCCATCATCATCATCATCCAGGAGCCTTCTACATACACACCTCAAAGTAAGTGAACTTTTCTACCATTTTTGTTGAATTTAGGAAATTTTCGGTGAGCTGGAACCAATTACCCAAAAACCCATTGAAACAATGGTTTCGGTTAACGAACTTTTCGGTTAACGAACGACCTTCTGGAACGGATTGAGTTCGTTAACGGAGGGGTCACTGTACTATATACTTACCAGATGCTTTAAGGTCATTCCAACTTTGTTGTTCTCCTGAGATGAAAATGATGTAGAAAGTGTTTCCTATAAAGTAAATTATTCCAGCTATCCAAAATACAAGTTTCCACTGTCCCACAGTTTCCTGCAATTAAGAACACAATTATTTGTTGAGATTTAATAGTTACTTAACTGTGAAAAGCTTATAAATACATGCTTAATATTTTAAACACATCTTGAGTTTTTTATGTTGTACTTTGAAAAATACTGAAATTATTGCTTTTGATTTTAAACAAATAAATGGTCAGTAGGAGAGAAACAGATGTTTCTGTAGGATAATTCAACTTAGTTTTTGAGGTAGAACTAAATGTTTATTAACATGTTTAAGACCACAGTAATGTGAAATTAGATTCAGATATATTTTGGATAGAAAAAATACAATTTGCATAATGTCAAACTTCTCACATTTTCTGACAAGTGTCTGGCTGTCTGCCTCTTATAGTTCAAGTACAGTATATGAGGTTATACTGCACAATACAGAACTAGGAAAGGGAGTGTACTAACATAACAAAAGCTTCTTCCACTGTACAGTACAGTGGCATACTTAAATTTCCACTTTCCAGACCATCGAATAAAGCAACACAACTTTGTACAGGTAACTGCTGTGCTAATTTTAAAGCTCTGTAAAGATATTCAGTAAGAATATTACTGGTGCATAAATTAACAAATGATGACACAAATTTCAGGTTGAAGGGAGGAACTAACGTTAAACCAATGACCCACAACTTACCTTTCCAGTGATGAGGTAACCAACAAGCTGAGGAGCCAAGAATCCTGGGATTGTAGCAGCAGTGTTGGTGATGCCCATAAGTGTACCAGCAAAGTTAGGGGCAATATCTAGGTGAGAGTTTATGTAGCCAGAGAGAGTTGCACCATTCAGGCCCACAGCTCCACACAACAACGCAATTGCTGCATCTTTATGACATCCAGCATAACCAACAAGGACCAAGCAAATCATGGGGCCATATATACCTAGAAATATACACTTCAATATTAATTACAACGGTAAAGTTGTATAACATACGTGAATAATGAAAATAATGACCGATTAATAGAGGCGTTCAAACAGTATTATTGTTGAGGTTAAGTACTAAAAAACTGGGAATTTTCCCCCATAAAAATTAATGGAATAAGAACGGTTTACATTTCTATTTGCTGTTACCATGACTATTCTGACAAAAAAGGGGAATTTTCTGTCTTAAGAAATAATGTAATAAGGATGGGTTATATTCCAATTCATTGCCACTGTACCCTGTGACATCCAAACAAAGAATAAACAAGTACTGTACTGTTCTGTACTGTACTGTACATGTACAGTACCGTAGTTACTGTAATTATGGAACAATCAGTGGTGGGATGTAGACCCACGTGCAGGTGATGCCAGCTGCATTCTCACCACTCCGCTTTTTTTAAAACTTCTAACTTCAACTCAAATATTCCACTTTTTCTGTCCATCTTATGCTTAGGCTCACTCTTTGCACTTAACACATGCTCTAGACCCATTATGACAATGTAACACAGACATTGCAGGTTGCAGGATAAAACCCACGGAATCCTCGAAGACAATTTTTACAGAACCTAGCCAAACATTATTATTATTATACCGTATTATATTTTCACCTCCCGGGCCTTGATGTGGGTCATTAAAAATGACCCGTGCCCGGGTGGGCTAATGCCCTTAAAAAAAAAATACACGAGGTTGCACGAGATAAACATACAGTAATATCTCTGTTAGTCGGAATCTCTCAAACCCAGATCTCTCCGAGAGCTGGAATAGAAATTTTCTCAAAAACTAGTTCCCAAAGCCGTAATTTCCGGAAAATTCTGAGAAAATTTTCCCGATACCTGGATAATTGCGGGGATGGGGAATTTTTCTTCCGGGTTTGAGAGATGAAAATCGGGCACATTTTCTGTTAATTCCGAAAACAAATTCAGTTACCCGGAAAATTCCGGGGATGAGGGACATTTTTCCGGGTTCAAGAGATAATGTACATAATGGGCAATTTCTGGAACTTCCGAGAAAATTTTTCCATTAGGTTTTCCCGAAAAATTCCAGAAAATTCCGGGGATGAGGGATTTTTTTCCGGCTTTGAGAGTCGTCTTGTTACCCAAAAATCTCTCATTCCTGGAAATACTCTGCAACAATTGTTCCGGCTAATGGAGATATCACTGTACAGGTGTACTAATATTTCCTGAAAGTACATTTTGCTAAAAACTTAATACTGTACAATTCATAATTTACTGTACTCGTTTCAATACAAACCCATTGGATATAAGATACAGTATTTAAATATACACCCTACAATCCTACATACAGTATTGATAACTGGAGTGTCTTGTTTGTTTTTGACACATACAGCTGCAGCAATCTTACATAAGGTGCAGTATACACACTACATTAATAGACCCTGTATTCATACCATAGGAAATTAAAGCTAAAAAAAAATTATTTGCACTTAATGTATATATAAATGTATTATCTGGTAATTGTAATTTTATTTTACTTGTACAGTATAGGTATCCCAAGCTATACGAAAGATAGAGTTATGAAAATTCGCTTATACGAATTTCTAAAATTAACACTTCTTTAAGTGTTACAAAAGCTTCCCCCGCTAACACAAATTTGGGCCCCGGCAAAAATTCAAAACCTGGGGCAGCCATCTTGGAGAAATGCGCGGAGACAGCTAGTCGTTGCGTGTGTAAGGTCATCTCTCTTTATCCGTGCCATCCCTTTATTATTCCTTTCATCATGGCATCCAAGTGTTCTGCTGAATATTCGGCTACCCGTAATACACCAAAGAAAATAGGAAGGGATGTGACCCTTGAGACAGCAGTGATGAGGTGGGCAACCCTCCTCATCCTGCTGAGTGAGGCCCTTACTCAGCCCACCCTTCCCCACCTCCTTGTGGTAGGCCCAAACTGCCCTCCCATAAGGTAATGTTCCAAAGTTATACAGTACAGTATTTTATTAATGTTTTTAGTGTATTAGGTAGTAAATTACAATAGTTGTGTACTATCTATCATCAGTTAGGTAAGGTTTTTTTTGTGAACCAATTTCATATTTTTGGGGTATGATATTTCGGTTTTCTTATCATTGGGGAACCTAATCCTATTTTCCCATATGTTCTTTTATTTGCTATACAAAAATTCACTTAATGAATGTTTTCAGGAACCTACCTAATTCATTTAGTGAGGATACCTGTATGTTTATATGTTGACTTATCATTCCCCTACTGATAAGCAACGAATATGTGAAAGAGTGAGTAGCAGGGACCCCTTCTGCATTATGGCTTACAAACTTACTCCTGTACACACATACTGTATGAGATATGGTAATTACTGTAATATACTCACCGCCAACTTCACACATACACTACTTTACATTATACAGGTAAACACAATCAAACACACTTACCCATAGGCTAGTGTTAATATTTAGTGTTCATGGTTTATTTTATTACTGGTATCTTTTTAGAAAGACAGTTTTAATGTAAATTATTTCACTTGTTTTTTATTTAATTAACAATTTATTATCATATTTTTAGAAACAAAAGCTTGGAGCTGGCGGACGCTCGCCCCACAAGGGGTCACAGCTCAAGATTGAAGAAGCCGCAAGTCCAGAAAACTGTGATGGCAAACTTTTTTGGAGTGACTGCCCGGATTTGCCAACAGTGCGTGACAGAGACGTGACCGATTGCCCGGGCGGCTAGCGAGCCAATCTTTTGGTGAAGAGGATAAATGAAAAGGAAAAGTAATCAGAGACGTGACCGATCGCCCAAGCGGCTAACGAGCCGATCAGTGGCGAAGAGGATAACAGAAAAAAGAAAAGATGTGCAGTACACTATATTGTTCAGGGGTCATCTTGGGACATTATCATCTAACTTTCATCATAATATCCTTTATGTTATATAATAGTATTGTATTTCATGTACTACTGTATACAGTACTGTATTCTAGACCTAATTTTCTGGAAAACTCACAAATCCAGTTTGTTTGTGGTCTTGAGCTTGGTACACAATAAATATACTGTACTACCTGTAGCAGTTACCTGGTCTGCTTCACTCAGAAGTATTAGTACCTACCTTAAATTCTCACTGTCTTACCAATAACTGCAACACATCAAAACATGCCAATAATGATTGCTAAGATATTAAACATTTTGTCTGAAATCAAGCAAATCTGAACAAGAGACTGTCCAAATTTGAGAAGAATAAAGCATGGCAGTGAAGTGAAGGACAACACTATTATATAAAGTGAGGAAGAGAATCACAAAGCTTTTCCCCTCAGCCCAGACTCACTCCAAAACTGCATGAGTAAAATTGGCTCACACACACAGCCCATTTACCTAATGACCACTCAAACTAGAGGTGGCCATGGCGAGGAAAGGAGGACAGTGCCCTGTGTAGGATCCCCCCATTGTTCTTGATAGTCTTGACAAGGGCCATTTTGAAGCCCAGTACTGTTCTTGCTTCCACAGCTTGAGCTTGTAAGAAAGCATATAAAGTGAGGAATAATAAGAACAGGGAGATATGCTACCTGTACTATGGTAAGAAGAAATGTTGAATAACTTGCTTATCAAAACTATTTTGGCAATATTAAAGTCAAGTAAGTTAGAACAAAGAAATATCAAGAGTAGAGAGCTGAGATAAAATGTGTGTGGAGGCTGTCATGGTGGTGTAGATTGATGAAAAATGCAGAGAATAGTGGGTGGAGATATTACATGCATGATACAGATAGACAAATAGATCACATCTACAGTACTATTTAATGCTCAGATTTACCAACAAATTTACTTCAGACTCCTTTAAGAAGAGTTTACCTGCTGTGGTTTTGCTAGACAAGTGAGAAATGATAAAATACACCATTTCAAATTTTGAGAAAATTAAAAAAATTAAAACACTTATCGATTAAAACACTGTATAGATTCTCCCCCTGAGTTCTTACCAATGCTGTTGAAGATCTTGCGGGTGGCCGTGGTGGAGAGAATACCTCTAGCTCTGAGGTGATCAGCCACCTGACCAGCAGCAATACTAAATAACCACATAACAAGGTATGGCAAAGCTGAGATAAAACCACTCTGTGGACAATAAGAGAGAAAATATGATAAGGAAAAAAGTAAATTTTAAGCTATAAAAATCTTAGATCCAAAAAATACACAAAAGTATCAGTGGGTGGTGGATAATGACAAACACATTCCCTGAAGATGTTCTATATGGAACAATTGTCAAACAGCTTCAGTAATACACATGACAGACTGTGAGTAGACAGGCAATTTAACATTCCACTACGTATTTCTATACTATAATTCTATGTTACAGTACAGTGTCCACACAAAACTTTTATGTAAGCCATGACACTACAAATAAGAGAAGCTCTACAAATATTGCCTTTCACATTGAAACTGTTTTATAAAGTGCAAGATCAACTATAATGACAAAATGCCTATTCATCACCATGACAATTTTGAGCATTTAAGTTGACTACACCAAAGTGAGATAAACTGCCTGTGTTGGTGGTGTGTGGTAGAGGAACAACATGCAGTGAGCTCTTCTTTTCAATACAATATGTAGTACAGACAATGGCTCTGATGATAGACCTAAGGTAACTGTCCAAGCATGGACGTCTGCAGGGGGGTGCACTTGCACCACCCTGGAATTTTTTTTTTTGTAATCCTTGTTTACAATACACTCTGTGTACTTTTGACAATTCCTTTGGTGGCTTGACCTGGCTGGCCGACTCAGGTAAGACTGTCATGATGTTGACATCACAGAGGAACTGTATACTGTATACCTGGTGTTAGGTCAAGATGAAGCCATGACCACTTGTCATCAAAACTGACTATGCATTATTTTACAGTTAGTTTAATTAGCAATTTTCAGAAATACTTTGCATATTGTACCATAACTTAACTAATTGTGTTTTGTCTTCAGTTCTTGATAACCAGTATGATAGTTGAGTAACTGCACAATTTGTTTAGTACATTATGACACAAATCATAATTACAAACATTATAATATTTATTTATAATATTATTCATAAAGGTAAATAAGAGCAAAACAAATACACTATAGTGGATGATTTAAAAATACCTACCGGGGGTATTTACATTTACTGCCATGGAAATTATTACATTATAATCATGCTTCAAAAATCTGTCACAATGAGTTCATGTATACCAAGCATGTCCCTTGCAAAACCAAGTTGTGATGGCAATGTGAGTGAAGATCCAATAATTAATGAATATAGAAAAATATGGCTCAGGAAAAATGGCACAGTTAAATGAGATCTACAAAACTGATAATTTTACTGAAGAGTCACAGTCCTGGTTTGAAATGTTGGCACAGCATCAACATTCCCAAAAGAAAACAGCATCTGATTCTGGTGCAACCTTGTCTATGACGGATCTTCTAAAGCAGTGTGATTTGTTTCCTGCTATTTGAGAAACCCTACTATAGTGCATTTTTCTCAGCTGAGAAATTATGCCCCGTCCCCTCCTCAAAAGTTACTGCTGATTGGCTGTTGCAAACCTGTCCGATTTTGTCCTGAAGTAATGATGTATTTCTAAATGAGCATATTCATAATCATTGGGATGACCATTTCTGACAAGAAAGGTATTTATCTAAATTATATAAAGATACATACATTTATTATTTCAAACATAAGCACACAGGAAGTTTATCAGAAATCTTATACAAGAATTAACTGTTAAACTCTGGTAGCAAATTCACGCTTTTGGAGGATGCATTTAATATACAGTACAGTATACTTATTTTTACCCACAATGAGGCATACTAAGACAAATTACGTATCAATAATACTACATTATGCAAAAACAACATTTTAAAAAATCAGAAACACATTGAAATATTACACGACCGTTAACAGAGGCGGGAAAAATATGAAGTTGTTCATGGTCATATTTCCCACCTCTGTTGATGGTCGTGTAACATTTCAATGTGATTCTGATCTTTTAAAATGTTGTTTTTGCATAATGTAGTATTACTGATATGTAATTTGTCTTAGTATGCCTTATTGTGGGTAAAAATAAGTATATACAGTCTCTCCTCGACTTACGACGGGGTTCCGTCCACACGACCAGGTCGTAAGTCGAATTGGTCATGTTGAAAAGGCGAAAATAATACATAGAAATTCTAAAATGGGTGTCCCTTTTTCTTCTCAGCACCACGAGAACTCTCACTTTTACGCTTGCCAGCCATTTTAAAAGGAATTACAAACGAAAATTTTGTCAGTACACAGCGCGATCACCAACGTCTGTACTAGAAAATACGTAATTTGAAAAATATTTTATACGACCACGGCGGTCGTATGTCCGGGTTGTCCTAAGTAGTGTATGTCGTAAGTCGAGGAGTACCTGTATTAAATGCATCCTCCGAAAGCGTGAAGTTGCTACCGGAGTTTAACAGTTAATTCTTGTATAAGATTTCTGATAAACTTCCTGCGTGCTTATGTTTGAAATAATAAATGTATGTACTGTATCTTTATAAAATTTAGATAAATACCTTTCTCGTCAGAAATGGTTATTCCAATGATTATGAATAAACTCATTTAGAAATACATCATTACTTCAGGACAAAATCGGACAGGTTTGCAACAGCCGTAACTTTTGAGGAGGGGGCGGGGCATCTTTTCTCAGCTGGGAAAAAACGCGCTATAATCTCCTTGACACTTCCAGCCTCCACTTGTGAAGTAGAGCGGTCATTTAGCAGAGTGAGACAAGTCAAGACATGGCTTCGATCAACAATGTCAACTGAATGCTTTTCTGGATTGTGAATGCTCAGCTGCATCACCAGAAAGTGTTAATAGAAAGAAAGCCTTGACTGAAGACATGATAGATAATTTTTGGAGGTGATAAATGTCGCCTGCTGTATTTATTTAACCATTGAAAGTACGCTGCTAATGTTCTGGGCAAGTCACTATCATGACAGACAGCTAGCATTGACCATCCCATGATTTTTGGGATCAATGATATCAAATTAATTATTTTCATTAGACACCCTTGTGTGCAAGTGATTTCTCTTCATATCAATAAATTACAAAATAAATGAAGAATAACTACAATCTCATTGGCTAAAGGACTAACAAGCAAAAATTAAAAATTAAAATAAATTTCTATATATTTTTAGGTTGTTTCTATTCCTCTTCCACTCTTGTGTGAGGAGGAACAAGTGGCAAAGAAACCTACGAAGGGGAGAATGATGGACAGCGATGTAAAAAAAGTATACAAAGTGATAAAAGGGCCAAGACAACATGTACAAACAACCACACACTTTTCCTTAAATATATTAAAAAAATAGATACCTATGAAATCATGGAAATAAACTTTGTAGCAGAGGTACAGTACTCACATGAGCTAAGTCAAAATGCAGGATATTCTTCATATATGTGGGTAATTCTGTTAACAGTGTGTAAAAGCCCCAGTTTTGTGCTATGTGGGCAACAAATACGGCCCAGAATGGCATAGAAGTGCAAATGTGCCTCCAAGGAATGGGTAGAACCTGAAAAATATGGAAATAATTATTCCATTATCTTGGACACTCAACAGTACAGTACAGTATATGAATATGCTACCAAACGTGCTGGCCAGTGGTGGAAATACTCTATATTGAACGAGAATCATGGAGGGGGACCACTAAGCAGCCGAGTTTTAAGAATCAAGGGATCAACCCCTGCTTAGCCACCCTGCATAGAAAAGGGAAAGATAATATAAATTAATAAATCTATATTATGTTGTCCACAATGTAAAACTACAGGACATAAATCCTACAAAATGTGACAGGACTCTGAACATAATCACACCTTTCCTGTTACAAAGAGTAGGCTTCATGAACAGAAAGGACCTGGTTAAACACATAGCCATAAAAGATACTACTGTAGTTGTATTGTATAACTTGTGTGAAGGATAATATTTATATTCACATACACAGTTGTGACAAGTAAGGCAGGGCAACAACTCCCTATAACTTAGATATACATCCATGGCCAGGCAGGGAGGCATTATTCACCATGATATGCATAATGTTACTCAATTTGTCAAGCCAAAGCCCAAGAATAAACTAATCGACATTATTAGGAAGTAAAGAATAACTGGCAATTAGAGTTATAGTGCCTTTCTTAACACTATTCTTTCTATAGAGATGGCATACTATTGAGCATTCTATTACTTTTGGGGAAGATTAATTTAGCTACACAGTGTACAGTACTGTATTACATTTGTATGGAAGGTGGTTATGAAGCAGCTCAATACAATATCTGGTGTAAATGGGTGTTATATAGTTTTTAGATTATTTGTACAGATAACATAGTAAAGTCATCATGTCTGTACCACTTGGGAACAACTGTATGTGTACATAACTTAATCTATACAGTACAGTACAGAACAGAACAGAACAGAACAGAACAGTACAGTACAGTACAGTACAGTACAGAACAGAACAGCACAGTACAGTACAGAACAGCACAGTACAGTACAGTACAGAACAGAACAGAACAGCACAGAACAGCACAGAACAGCACAGTACAGTACAGTACAGTACAGTACAGTACAGTACAGTACAGTACAGTACAGCACAGCACAGCACAGTACAGTAAAGTACAATAAAGTACAGTACAGTACAATACAGTACAGCACAGCACAGAACAGCACAGCACAGTACAGTAAAGTACAATAAAGTACAGTACAGTACAGTACAGTACAGTACAGTACAGTACAGTACAGCACAGCACAGTACAGTACAGTACAGTACAGTACAGTACTTGAACTTTTATTTCTGAATAAAGTATGTGTGTCATTACTTACCTTAGTGTTACTTGGTGACTGATTGAGAGTTGTCTGGATATAAATCTTCTCATCCAAGGATATCCTGGGGTGTGACTCAGGTGTGTTATGGACCTGGCAACACAAATATCAGAGGATATGGTAGTGATATAGCTATACAAAATCCACCCAAGTAACCTAAGTTGGTATAACACAATCATCTGTATCACCTACTTTAGAAATACAGGTAATACCAAAATCAGTGTATCCATTTTAATTTCTTTGCCATTAGGGATGCACATTGTACAGTGCATGAACTTTAGAATCCCCATTTTTCTGTCTTCTCAACTTTGTTTTCATAATTAAATTACAGTCAACCCTCGCTTTACGCGGTCCCACTTTACGCGTTTCAACGTTTACGCGGTACCCTGCCAAAACTGGAATGCTCACTTTCCGCGGTGTGTGTACCCTTTTACGCAGAGAGCGGCGCGAGCAGGGTGCGCACAAGGTCGCCCAGTCATCAAAACATTACCGAGTTCTTCACCCGCCACCCACCACAGCCGGCCCAAGTCAGTGATAGTGATAATGATAGTGAGGATATGGACTTATATGGACTTTGAGGGGTTTGACAAAGAGGCCCTGCAAGCCTCTGTGGTGGATAGTGATACAATTGATACAAGTGATACAGGTGAGGGCCAATAATCTGCCCTCTGCCTCGGAACCAACCCCACATCCCTGTGTTCCCAGCCATCTTTTCTACTAATGTAAGTGTTAAAAAACCTAATATTATTGATATTTCTCTTAATTATTAATTGTGTGTACATACCATCATAAAATTAAGAAGTTATTTTTACTACAACGTAGGTATTGTGTCTGAAAAAGTGGAGTTTGGGGGTCGGCCCGGTCTCTATTTCAATTAATCCCATAAGTTATGTTGTTCACTTTACGCGTTTCTCACTTTACGCGGGCCGCCGTGGGTTCAATTGACCGCGTAAAGTGAGGGTTCACTGTACAGTATTATCATTGTCATCATTAGGATCAATATGAGTATCACCCCAAGTTTTATATGCTTCATAAAAAGGATGTTGATGGAATTCAACACATATGCCCATTTTTTTAAACATCCAATGGAAGTAAGTCCAAAAAGGAATCCTCAACATCAGGTTAGTTTAAAGTGACCCGAGAAATGGATTCATCAAAACTATTATTTGAGTTTGACAAATTCATTTGTCAGGTTACTTATGTTCAAGATTTCTCTTCAAACTTGCTGCCCCGAACGTTTTAAAAAATAGGTGATAATGTATAGTACATGATGTCTGACACATGGATGATATCTAGAATAATATTATAATATTCAAGAATATTCCTGTCACTACCAACTCTTTATCTCCCCTACCATTTTATCCTCAATCATGTACTGGTAGCTTGACACAAAAGATATCTCCAAAGGTATGAGCTTTCTGACCCTAAAAAAATAATACATACAATTCAAGGACTTTTTACCCTCTAGGAATGGACCAGGGTATAGTTAGAGAGAGCTAAACTGTAGTATCGTCAATGTCCTCACACAGTATGAGGTAGCTCTGTCATGTTGAGACTATCTGTCATGGCCTATCAGTAAATATTTAGACCATAAAGTTATAATCAGACCATTATGACTCTTTACATCAAACTTACCAGGAGCATCCAGACTATGAACCACAGTAGTCCGCACACACCAAACACATAAAACACTGCTGGCCAGCCCCCGAGGAAACTTGACTGACATAATAAACCGGAGATTGGTAGTGATATAACTGTACCAAACTGAGCCCCTGAAATGAATAAAACAAACATTACATATACATTAGGTATTCATAATCTGTAACACTAAATCACAATAATAAACTGTTGCTATAGTCATCATTATTATCATCGTTTTAACGCCATATTCCACACATGCATGGGTTAGCCGTGATTACTTGACGTGGTGTCTCAATTGCCAGCAGGTAAATTTGAAGCAAATTTTATGACTGGATGCCCTTCCTATCTACCACTCAACCACTAACCCACTTTTATAAAGTGAAAACTGGGCATTACAGTACTACGGTATATGTACCCCCCTGTAGGTCTTCCAAGTGCTGTCTTAAGTGAAAGTTGCTAAATACAGTAGTGCACATTCACTAATTAAAAAAATAAACACTTAATTTGCTGGATACATTAGAATACAAAATTAACATACATTTTTCCTCTAAAGTTAATAAGTAACAAGTACCAAACAGTGTAGGAAATACAACGGAGTGAAAATCTTAAAATTTTACTGTACTGTATTGCAAAATACTGGAAGGTCCTTCACCTTGCCAATAAAGAAGTTTATAAGTGAATATCCCAGTCAAACCTACCTGGCTGTCACAGGATATAACTTCATTCACAGGTGTTTACTGTAAGTGTTTGTGTTATATTCATGACTCATCCTTCACAGTAAACAAAATCCTTAAGTGATTCTTGTTCCAACAAGGTTTCAGTTTTGCAAGTGAGTTTTCTTGTGTGTCGGCCACAGTGGAATATGGCGGACAAAATTCTGGGGAGCTTCAACTCTTGAAGTCTTCATCCATTTGCGAAACTTCTTGTTTCACAGTTGCTATAAACAGGCCGGTTGACAAATGTGCATTGTTGCTGGAAACTAAGCAATCATAAAAGCCTTCACCCCAAATAACTGGAAGGGAATTGGGCATAGTTGGTCTAATTTTGGATTGTTTGTGACTCTGCTTCCTCTTCCACTGAGCTTGCTAGTCACTTCCTCTTCCTCATAAATAATGAATTGTTGAGGGCATGGAAGTTCCTTCAGAGACAAGCTAACTTAGACAAATAAGACCTCATCAGGGCCTATTATTGGCAGAGTTTCCACTGATATCTTTATGTATGGTTCAGTGTGTGTAAGGTTGGGTTGGTCCCAGTACAGAACTGTTCACTCTGATCAAGTTGGAGATGAATTCTTTATACTCTAAACTTAAAAGCTTCCCTAGGAGTGACATATTTAAAGGAAGCAAAAATTCCTGGGGATGACACTGTGACGAGGGGTATGATAAAAAAAAAAAGGCTTATCAAGTGAAGGTTTGTTACCATGTACTTGTCTAAAATCTTCATTAAGGAAACCCTGATATTAACCTAATCAAACCTAACCTAAACCCCATTTAGCATTAAGGTGTTTTATCATTAGGTGAAATAAGAAGAATTTCCTAATCTTCATAAGACCTGACTATAAACACTGGACTAGCCCTGCATCAGCCATGGTAATCATATATCCAAGATGGTCAGACTTTTTTTATCAAATAGAAAGTTCAAGAAGAGATAAGAAACTCATCAATTCACCATGGCTTCCTTTGAACCAACAGCACAAGCATTTGTCAATAAAGTTCAAGGAAGGAGAACTGATAATGAAGGAAGGAAACTGCCACATGCAGTGTCTAGTGTCATCATTAACCCACAGGCTATAAAAACCTATTATGCAATATAGAAGACAATCGTCAAACAGAAGGTAAGGATAAGCAATACAGTATACTGTACAGCCAATCCTAAAAGTATTGAGACTCCTGGGTCCAGTGGAATAAAAAATGAGCAATAACCTCAGAGGTGTTCCTGCTTGGTCTTCACTCGATGTCTCATATTCTTTTGAACACCTGAGGTCTCAATACATTTTGGATTGGCTGCACTCTTCTAAATTATCCAAGAAACACCTAATGAACATATAATCACCTGGACTTGTGGATATAGAATTTTGATACTGTATATCAAACCTGCTTTTGGTAAAATACATAATTGTACTGTATTAGATTTTTCTATTACCATAAAGAGTATTGAGAGATAGTCTTACCAGCATACACCAGGGAACTCATTTTGCTGCGCTCTAGGGGAGGAACCCACTTAGCCATCATGGAGTTCATTGCAGGGAACGTCACGCCCTAGCAGAAAGCTTACCATTAATTACAAATCACAATATAATGCTAATTTTGTTTCAATCCAGGTAGAATAGTGAATACTCTTTAGTTATTCATAATATTCTTATTTACAACTCATTCCTCCAGAGAGCCTCCCTATCAGGGGGTGACTGTGATAGAGCAGTCTCTGTCATACAGGGTATTAAAGTTTAAACATTTAACAAATGGGCTGTTGTCTCTAACTTTTGTACATGTATAGTCAGTAATGTACTGCCTTTAACTCAAAAGAGTACCGTATTTTAAAAACATAATGTCCTAAATTTAACTTCTTGTCCAGCCTGTATGTGTGTGCTATATTTATGCTCTTAAATAAAAAAATTATACTTCCTCAAGACTTACCTCTCCTAATCCTTCAATAACTCGAAGAGCAATAAACAGAGGTGTGCTTGCGCGGGCTACAACTGGAGTAAAAATTGTCATTATGGAGGTGACGAGAACACCTATACCAAACACAATCTTGCCACCAACAAGCTCTCCTAACCGACCACCAAGCATATTAGTCAGCACATATCCATAGAAGAAAGCTCCGAGGATCAGTCCTTGCTCAGTTTCACCCCAAGGAAATTCTCCATCCTGCAAGAGGTAAAACCATATATTACACTGGTACTGTATACTATTACTGTACTTTTTCATTATGCAACTTTATTTTTCACTACAGCATTTCTTTAATTCTGCTTCAGGGTTGATAGACAGTACATTCAAAATTAATGTACCGTACTGTATATGGACACTGTTCATACACACTAAATTTGAGCTAAGTACAGGCACTGACAAATGGTAATGAGGATGAAGTAAAGTACAGTACTACATAAAGTGCATTTTGGAGCATATTTTTTTTTAAAGAGAAGATTTAAGTATTTGCAAATGCTAGAATACTCAAGATAATAACCATTTACTGTTTACTGTACAACTTTTTCTTTTTAATCAAGGACTTTCATGCATTTGAAAGTTTCTATGATCAGTAGTTGGTATTAGGTACTGTATAAGCATTCACAATACTGTACAATGTGGGTTGTTAATTCTAGATGACCTCATTTTTACAAGACTAATGCGATTCACTTCCTAATACAGTGTATCTACTAATGTGAGAACTTGAGAGAGGAGATAATTATTAAGAAGAGATAATCACAATATATTCAGGGTAAACATAAACAAAATACTACTCCTAAAATATATAGTAAATACTAATCATATACAGTACTGTAGCTATACGGAAAAGCAGCTATGATCTGATGCCCAGCACTTATATATGGAAAGACAAGTGTTATCATGACATATAAAAGGTGATTAATTTCATCAAGTTGGCTGCTTTGTTGGCAGTGAAAGGCATGTGTGATTAATGGTGGTTAATTTTAGTTGGCATTGATAATGAACTAGCCAGAGGTGAAGATGGTTATAGAGAACATATGTTAAAATTAAGACAAAAGAGATGAACAATTATGTATGGATGAAGTAAAGGGTATTTGTGTTAAAACAAAAGGTGCATATCAGGGACAGTAAAGAGTACAAAATGTATACAGTATTATGTACAGTAACGTTTGATAACATGGCTTCTGCATATACTCATATTACCAAACTGGAATACAGTATAAAGGAAACTTAGCACTGTACAGGTAACTAACCTTGACCGGATGAGTGGTGTTGTCAGCTGAAGCCGGGCACACATCTGATTCGTTCTTGTTTGTATGAGGAATAGCGGTGTTGTTAACCATAGCAACAATAGCTACTGACAAATTAACACGCATGGCATATACATTTGCAAACCCCAGAAAGCCCAAGAAAGCCAAAATGTGTCTCGCACCAAAGCAGCCTGCAAAAGAGAATTACACGTTCAGTGATAAGATACAATTACGGTACTCAAGGCTTCAAATTCCCGCACACAAATTATTTTTTTTATCAGAGTAAAATCCAATCTAGATAAACTAATCAGTGTCAAACTTTTTAAACATTGCAATTAGGTATCTTGCACAAATATGCAAAGTTTCAGATCAAATTTCCTGGACACATTGTCTGCCTGATGGTATGAGGGTCACGTAGGTAAGGGGGAATTGCATTTTTCAGTAACACATATTGACTTAAACTTTATTTTCGTTCTGTTGTAATTTTTTTTTTATTCCTACACAATTCAGCCTGAAAAGGAGCAGTTTTCATCAGCTATTAACCAGAAACACATAATGATCTTAAAATTAGATGTCAAATATTGCCAAGTGTCGAGAGAATTTTGGTAGCAATTGATTATGTTTATAAGATAATGACGCTTTGTATGGATGTCTTACATATTTGCATTCATTAAAACAAGCGTATCCTCGTTGTTAAAGAAAAAATATTATTTCAGGAAATAAAGTGGTACTAACCGTTCTTCCTAACTTTTGCCAAAGAATCCGCTGACCTAATTCATATATTCATGAGCCCCCGAAATTTTAATGAAATGGAATCAACAACTTTCACTTAGCATTAATAATTTAAAAAATAAATAAATATTTGAATAAAAATAAACCAAGGCAGCTTATGAATGAACTGGAGATCAACAGGACAGCCAAGGCCCATGGTTGCACTTCAGACTCTACAGGTTTTTGCTGCATGTGAACTTGTGGGTGTGGGTGGAAACTTAGAACAATAGGTAAATATTTGGTTAATAGTGATGACTAACCCGCCCATGTGTTATTTGTTTTGGTGTTTATATTCTTAATCAGTGAGTTCTGATTTGAAATTTTGGGGGGTAAATGCTTCATTTGGTACGATAATTAGACGACTAGACTTGCACTACTTTGTCTTTCTTAGAAGTAATGTGGCCGAGAAAGAGCATTCCCTCCAATCATATTGACGGCTCCGATCAATGCCAGCGCATGGTTATGAGCCACGCGGTTCAGGTGGCTGCTCTCATGTCCACAAAAAACGTAAATTTACACCATATCATAGTAAGTTCTTTCTGTTTAATATGCCGGGGGGCAGAGCCCCATGGCTAGGAAGTTAGATAGGTTTCTTTGGTTAGGCTGTTGAGGTCTTCTAACAATGCTTCTGCTGCTTGTTTTCTAAACAACGAAGTTTAGGTTTGGTTTAATTTAGAAATAACCACTTTTTAACACATCTGTCAAAACTACAACAGTGTCCACTTTAAAACACATTGAAATTAGGACGTTTTTAAAACCTTTTCTATGAAAAATAGGCAGCGTCAATAAATACCAAATATTTATTCAATAAAATCATTATAAATGTTCAAATTTATTAAATTGTGCATAAATAGTGCAGGTCTAAAAACCATGCTAAGCAGTAAGTTAATTGGTAATATTGCAGTAAACAGCAAGCACAGAATTCCAGAATTCACTACACTCAATCAATAGAACTATTTTTCTATGGTCATTTTCTTATGTTACACTTCCATCACAAATTGATAATAAGGAAGTTATTGAATTTTAAAAAGAATAAAATCAGAGCAGCTGTTAGTATGTTCTGGTGGAGGCTGACCACGAGACTCTGGGTTATCACATAGAGTCTGGGGGTACGGGGACAAAGCCCCCGGCTAGGGCCACTGGTGGTCCGAGGGCAGAGCCCCCGGCTAGGACCACCGGGGATCCGAGGGCAGAGCCCCCAGCTAGAGGGTTAGGTAAGGTTTAGTTTGGTTATACTGTATAAGTTAGCAAGCACAGAGTACTGGGAATTCAGAACACTCAATCGATAGAACTATTATTTCGGGTCCGACTAATTACCCAAATGTACCCAAATGTAGCCGCAATGAAGTCAAATGATGGTCCTACAAGAATAAATCGGACTGCCAATCACTTCTCGACTGGTATTTGGTGTCACGAAGTCACAAAAAATTGGTAAACTTAATTTAATCTGAGTTAATAGATAGAGTGCTTGTACCTAACCTAACCTAACACAACTCAGATTAAATTAAGTTTACCAATTTTTTGTGAATTTATGACACCAAATAATAATCGAGAAGTGATTCACAGCCCGATTTACGCTTGTAGGACCATCATTTGACTTCATTGCGACTACATTTGGGTAATTAGTCGGACCGTATTATTTCTCCTATTTTTTCGTAAATAACAGAAATTCTGTTGCATAATGTGTTCTTCTGTTTTCTTGTTGCGATTCGGACAATTTTAGAATTCGCTTCTACCACAAATCTCTCATTATGGCTCTCCCCCACCCAGAACCCAGAATTACCACACTTTCCCCCATTATTGTTAGAGGGAGGGAGGGGGGGGGGGGCTAAATCGCATGAAAAACCATCAGAAAAACTTATTTTTTCATCAGATTCTTTGGTTGCTGTAATCTGCAATTTTACCAGTTAATTAAATCAAACATTGTCAAGATTGCTGTTCAATATATACAGTATTGTAAAGGAAATCACGCCTACCTACTAGTTATAATTTTTACTATGTATTATTGACACCCCAGGTGTGAAAATTGCTACAGGATAACCAATAGTAAGCTCACACCACACACTCGAGGTCAACAAGTGGAGACCGTCATGACTCGAGTACTGTACCTTCAGGCGCGGTCTGAGGAACAGTTTCAATAAGGTGGTGATCATCCTCAACCATTCTTCTCAGCACGTCTTGAGTACCAGGACGTTGTTGTAGTGAGTCTCTAGGCATTGCTGCTGTATACTTGTAAGGCTGTCAGGCGAGTCCGCGGGCCACCCTAACACGACTGCATCTCTGTTTACAAGCCGTCAGCTGACTGTCAAAGTGCCAGCTGATCAACCATCACCACGCTGACGATAAGGTACATTGTTACAGTATGCAGTATTGTTATATATTATAAACTTTATCTTATTAAACAAAGATTATTACTGTTAAGAATATCCCACAAAAAGGTGCAGCTTAAATTCAATTCATCAAGTTATAAGCCAGCCAAGTATAGTTATTCAGTTTTCTCTCATAGAATTTTTTTGTTACTAATGCACAAAACGGTACTTCAGATGTAACTAGAATTATCACGACCACAATGGGGAGGAACACATGAGTTTGTGGCCATGTATCGCACCATTGTCATGCATGTTATACAATTACGGAAGGGCATTAAATTGTTAAATCTAGAATAATGACGAGACAAGAATATCCTACGGCATAATAATAAACTGAAACGCTCCAGTGTAAAAAATGTAAAAGACAACTGGGCGTTTTCTTATGCTACTGTTACAGTACCCTATAGAATCAGTATATGATAATTAAAACTTTTAATGAATAGGGAGCAAGAAATTAATAATCTAATAACTGTGGTACAGTGCATCACCGTGTATATGCGAGTGGGGTTTACCCAGGGTTGGACACGGGGGTCCTGTAGTGGATTCCTCCCCTACAAGCACCGAACCTTCTCGAATTCCCCAGCCTACGTCTCCAGCGCCGCCCACGGAGCGGGGATCAACTATCTGCCCGCCTGCCCCCGCCAGCAGCAACACCTCCTCCTCCGCGCCAGCCTGGCGGCTCCCGCTCCCGCCAGCGACCTTGGCGTCTCTCAAGCCGCGTGCCCTCACTCTGGGCACCCTCACCGCCCAGCTCTCTCTACTCAACGCTTATTACCGTGCTACCTACCCAGCAACAAGCTGCATTGTACATCCAATACATCCTTTCTCCATCCCATCCTGAGTGTGAACCAATATCCAATAACCCTACAGTCCTAACGGTCCCCCCCTCCCCCCTGGATCCGACGATGGGTAAACCCCACTCGCATATACACACATCTCCGGATATGATTTTTATCATGTGTGGTGATCGAGAAGTTATTGAGAAATGGAATGTTAGCGAAAAAAAAGTTCGTTGGCGAGATAATTTCATGGGTAAAAATGTGATGTTGTGTAGTGTGTAAAGGGGGCTATCACAATGGGCTAAATTCCGCATTCCTCCCCCAATTTCCTCGGGAGATAAACGGTGATGCCACCATGGAAAGTAGAGAGTTCTCAAGACAGTTTTGACTGCATTTCAGGTTCAACTTTGGGTTTATAATATTACAGTTAAAAGGTATTGATTTTATTAAAACTGATTAGTAGAAAGCAATTTAAGGTGATTTCAATTCAACTATATTATCATTAGAATATTTATTATACTTACAAAATGAAACGAAAATTAAAGATAATATTGAATTTGACTTAGTTTACATCCACTGAGCGCGGCCAGCAGGGATTCTCAAGCCTTACGAATTATTTGGACAAGGGACTTCTTTTTTATCAGATTCGCCACTTATCAGGGTACTAACCGTTTGGGCAGTTTATCCAGCGTTAGTACAGGAGGAAAATTCAGGAAACCGGGGACCGGGAAACCTGTGGTGTTGGGTAAGGTCACACTGGATACCCTTCTCACGTGTTTCCGGGCCGAGGCCCGAACCCTTGACATATTGGTGAGTTATGCTCGTTAACGCTGTACCACCAACACCTTGTTGATAAAGTGAGAGAATGAAGAGTGTAGTGGGATTTCAGACATACAGTGTATCGCAAGAAAAGGTTAAAATGAAAACACTTGTGGACGACCCGCCATCTTAACTTTGTTTTGTTTCGAGCGACGGCGATGCCTAAGGAAGCTACGCCTGATCTTGTGATTGGAAAGTAAATTTTTTGACAAGAAAAATGCGGAAATTTTGCCAAGTGTGAAAATCATTAAAGCACTGCTATTATGTCAGTGCTGGTGGTGCAATAAGCGCTGAGGTGCTGTAAATGTCATGTTCTGTGAACGTACCGATAAAATGTGACCATTGCTGGCAGGAGGGACATTCCCAAGCTATTATACTACGGAGAAGAAAAGAAAACCTCAAATTCTAGGCAATAGTTATTGGTCCGGTCACTGAACCTTTACGTCTGCTATATGTCAGGAATTCGACCAGTAGCAGAATGGACATGCAACTGCTGCCTATACTTTGTGCAAGAAGACTTCATGAGGTGGGGATCCCTCCCTACCTGAAGTGCGTTGATATCTATGGCTCGCATTACTGGTGAGTTTGAATATTACTTTCATGTTTTTTCTACAGTTATAACCATCTGTTGATCTTATTTACACAGTATTTAGGTTAAAATAAGGTATTATCGTTTCGGTTATCCAGCGAGGTTAGGTTAGGTTAAAATTATGTTTTTCCGATGGTTTTTGATGTGTTTTGAAGGATTCTGACCATTTCAAATAGGTGGATGACCGAAACGATAATTTTACCTAAATTAATGTTTTGACTGACGTTACTTTCTTGCACTTAATGTAATGGATGAAACGAACTAGGCTTCCCATGGGACGTGAGGATGTCATAAACGCAATATTAAAAACTAAGCTAATGCCAGATAATAACGCTACCACCAGGATTTGCTCTCTTTCGTTCATTTTTTTCCGCGAATGTTATTTGGGTGATAATAATAAAAGCGATACAACACACAGAACCTAATATAGCCTGACCAACCAAAGAAACCTACCTAACTTTACCTAACTTCTTAGCGGAGAACCCCCCTCCCCCCTACCGCCATATTAAACAGAAAGTACTATTTTGATATCTGGTACCAATGAAAGCCACTTTGTTGAAACGTCATGTACAGTCAGCCAAAGATGCACCGACCCTGGGTCTCGTGCTCACAATTTTACCCGGCAATACTTGGTTAAGGAAGGCTGTATGTAAAGGTAATTGTGAGTGGTGGATCTGTTTTCGGCTCTATCACTGTCAGGATAAATATTAAACAAACCAAAGGTAACATATTTATAATAAAAAATTCATTGTTATTTAAGGTCAAGAGAAGTTTCCAAATGTTCGTATATTTGTTTAAATAATTAAGACAATTTGATGTGAGAATCTTGTGGCAGCTGTGGTTGTAGTTGAGTTGCAAATTCATTAATATAATTTTCTTCATGACCTTAAATGACAATGCATAGTTTATTATTAAAACAAATTCTACCTTTGCTTTGCTTAATAATTATCCTGACAGTGATAGAGCCGAAAACAAATCCACCAATCACAATTACCTATACATACAGCCTTCCTTTACCAAGTATTGCCAGGTAAAATTGGGTGGGGTCGGTGCATCTTTGGCTGACTGTACATGTGGTATACTTTAACGTTTTAGGGAGTGTGTGAACAAATAGACAACACACGGTGACTCGGCACATTTGTTTGACAGTGATAAGAATAACTGGTATTATTTTGTTTTATTCAGTTACCCGGTACCCTGTAATGATTTCGTGGGGATCACATGAAGATTAGATACCTCAGCTCATTTCATGTGGTGATTAAACACCCTTACGCTTGCGGTAGCTGGGTGGGTTAGGTTAGGTTACGACCAAAGAAATATTTGTAGACCGCACGCTATAGTAGCACCAGATTATGTTAGGTTAGCGTTATACTGAAATTATTTTAGGTTCGGTAAAATTAGCTTTAGGGAGGTTGATCTTAACATAAACTAAGTTGATATGCTTAACCTTCACGTGGTCCTCTCTCTCTCTCTCTGGTAGTTATAGCAGGTTAGCATAAACGGCGTGGCTTCCATAACTTTAGGCTTCATGTACTCAATTTGATTGTAGTTAGTTTGAATACTAGTTGTTTATAATTATTAACTCAAATATTTTAACTAGGTAGAACTGAGACACCAACACACTGGTAGTTTTGTAGATTTTGTTTGATGATGATTTACCCTGTACCTTATCAGCTTTTGTGCAGTGTCAGAAATGTGAAATAATGATCTTTATTTTCCTATTCTAGAAATAACTCCCATCGTGGAGGCTTTGGCAAGTACGTAACTTCTTTGTGCTTGTGTGAGCTCCTGCAAATAAAAAAAATCGTCACCGCGTGTCTTATTTAAGCAGGAAATGGACGACTGAGCGTTGACAAACTTTGGCCCGTGTCTGGTGAGATGAGAATAGTTCAATATGAGTGGGTTTAATTCAGTGTAGCATAGAAATCGCTTAGAGGCGGTGACCTGCTAAAGTTGCTGAAGAATTACAGTATAATTGTTTTTCAAATGCAATATAAGATCCGCAAATTATTCAAGTATATTTTAATAAATACAGTACTGTACTGTAATAGGATCATATGAAGATTAGAAACTCCAGCTTATATCACCTGATAATTAAACACCCTAGCGCTACCTGGGATATATAGAGTGCATAGTCATCACAAGAGGCGCTACCCCAACTTATGATCGAGTGATCTCTATAATAATTAATTTAAAAAATCCCCAGACATAGGGGATATTCAGTTGTTCACTTCCCCCTGACAATGTTATGATGAAAAATTACCTGCACGACTGTAGTTTTTATTTTGTTTGAGCGAGTCTGAGAATCACTTATGAAACGACAAGTGCGTCACTGTGCCCGTCGTTCAGTGCCTCCGGCGTATGAGAAGACGCACTCTCCGAACCTTGTTTCTCCATACGCTTCAACACCATACGCTCGGCTGCAAATGTTATGGGGTTAAGAGTGTCAGTTGCGTTTGTGAGGTATATATATATATATACACATTATTGTTACGCCCAGTTCCCGTTGACATCTTCCGCCCTTGGTGTGTTAACTAGGAAGTGTTCATGTCACTGGTACAGGTGGACCCAACCTCAAGTTGTCAACATCACCACGTGGGACCTGCCACCTGATGCCATCTAGTACCGTGTACATATAAACATATAGCATTTTATATTAATCGTTGCATTATAACCCGAGCCTCGGAGTATGCCCACAGTCATTGTGTGTTTTATTTAGTTTTTGTTCATGAGCAGAACATAATTATTGACTTGTCGCTTTCTTGATGTATAAACCTTAAGTCCCGTGTAGCAATAGGTAGCTGGCAACTTATTTTGGACCCTCCCCGCCCTGCCCCGCCCTCCCCTCCCCTCAGTGATGTAGCAGTAATCGTCTACTACGCACTATTGATGGTGATTCCTGGAAGGTGTAAAATCATGGCCATTTTCGTGTCTTGTCAGCACTAAGGGTTCACAGGAATGTTGGACGGTAAAATTAATTTACCCGAGTCAATTGAATGATTGTTAGTTCCGTTACAACATCCCCGGGGAACAAAGGTGATCAAAGAGTTGTTGGATGAAGAAAAAATCCTTCATGTGAATAAACTTCCATCAGTTAGGTCATGAAAGAAGCAAATTTAGGGTGATTAACCGAAGCCAAAAATTAGGGGGTGGCGGCAAACTGTCGCGCCACGACGCTGTCAACAAGGCCATGAATAATAATAATAATAATAATTAACGGTTTATTGAAAGAGCTTGGCAGCCAGAAGGCTGAAAATATACAGTTACATATTTGGGGAATGGGTTTCGAATTACAAATAATATACAAGTAACATAAGTGATACAAATAAGATATATAATAACTAGATGGGTAAAAGCTCAAACTACAGGGCATTTCAACATAGTGACAGTGCAAGAAGTAGTATTTACTGGGAGTGAATACACTGGTTTATTAA